CAGTATCCGGTATGTTTTTATCATCGGTGTGAAATAGACTAATACAGCCCCCTTGTTAAGCTGTCTGGCAACAGACTGCTGACCCCATAGACCAAACTGAGCCCTGGGCTTTGCGGGAAGGAGTTGTCAGGCATTGCCTCTCTGTGCCCAGACCGGGAGCTCCAAGGCTAGGACTCAGGTCTCTTCTTCCTCTATCCCAGGAGTAGGAGTGCCCTCACACCCTCATTCTCCGTGCCTCAGTTTTCCCTCTGTGGCAGCTGTAAAGGGGCATCACTTGGATCCCCCTCTAGAAAGAGCTTGCCACTTGGCTGGGCTCAGGGGCTCAGGCCTGTAATCCCAGGACTTTGAGAGGCCGAGGCGGGCAGATCACTTGAGGTCGGGAGTTTGAGACCAGCCTGACCAACATGGAGAAACCCATGTCTACTAAAAATACAAAATGAGCCGGGTGTAGTGGCTCATGCCTGTAATCCCAGCTACTTGGGAGGCTGAGGCAATAGAATTGCTTGGACCTGGGAGGCAGAGGTTGTTCTGAGCTGAGATCATGCCATTGCATTCCTGCCTGGGCCTCATGAGCGAAGCTCCACCTAAAAAAAGGAAGGAAGAAAGGAAGGAAGGAAGGAAAGAAGAAAGGAAGGAGGGAGGGAGGGAGGGAGGGAAAGGAAAGGAAAGAGAAAGAGAAAGAAAAAGAGAAAGAAAGAAAGAAAAGAAAGAAAAGGAGGGAGGGAGGGAGGGAGGGAAAAAAGAAAGAAAGAGACAGAAAGAAAAGGAAAAGGAAAGAAAGAGCTTGCCACTCAACCTTGAGGAGGGCAGTGAGTGGAGCCTCTAGCCACACTGCCTTGGGCTCCGGTCTTTGGTCCCTGGCTGAGCCTGTCACTGCTCTTCCCCACAGCCCAGGCGTTGAGCAGGCACAGTGGGTTTACTGCGGCTTCTACGTGCAGCCTTTGCCCTGAAACTCACCGTGACGTTGGCGGAGACTTTTCAGATCTGCGTCCACGTCTGAGCTTCTCTCCCCAGTCCCACACTCTCCTCTTTCGCCTCTCCCAGGCCCTGCCATCCAGTAAGCGCTCACAGCCCTAACTCCACCTCAGCCTTTGCTCACTGGAGGACTGAGCTGACACTTCGAAAGTTCACACCTCCCTCCCCCACACACACAGCTCTAAGCCCCAGCCTCCAGGACAAGGCAGGACCCCCCCCCCAACTGACACTCACAGAGCTCTAAGCCCCAGCCTCCAGGACAAGGCATGACCATTTCAGAGCTTGTCCCTGGGCTTCATTTCCAAATCCGTGAAGTCAGGACAGTTCTTCCTCCAGCACCTGCTCTCCTGTGAGCTTGGTTTTCTTCCTAGATGCAGCTGTGGCCCCACCAGAACATCCCCACAATCCCACACCCAGGCAGTGCCAGGCTTCCTGCAGGCGGCAGCCCATGTCTAAGTCCCGGGCACAACCCTAGCCCCCAGACGAGTGCAGGTGGTGAGACGTGGGGGTGAATGAATGGTATTCACTGCACACTGTTACAGGAGGGATGAAGGGGATACTTCTCCTTTAAACACCTGCCCAGGCCTCTCCTGCCCTCCACAGCTTGAGTTAAGCTGCATCTCCTCACAGGAAGAACTGGCCCCAAAAGAAGGCACGGCCTGGGGAGGTGGTAAGCGCTTCATATTCTCGGAGCTGCCAGACCCATTTTGGTCTTTTTTTGGATAAAGACCAAAAGTATAGGTCCCTTCAACTCAGAAGCCCCGAAAGCGAACGCTGTCTGCATCCAGACAGCAATGTGGGGGGGCTCTGGCAGGGGAATCCCGGAGCAGTGACTCCCCCGGCCGGTATTTTCCCCACCGTGTCCTGGCCTGGCCTCCCCCATACAGGCCAAGGCCCCTCTGTGGCCCCAGCCCCCTTTCCACTCCACCAGAGACCCTCACCACCGTGGAGCCCTGAGCTGGCAACCTTGAAGGCAGCGAGCGCAGGATTCTGAGAGGGGCTCGGGGGCTGGAGGAGGCGGGGGCGGCAGGAAGCCGGGCAGGCTCATAATGAGTCACAGCAGATTCTCTTCGTGCCGTGCTGGTTGTCACAGGGGATGGCAAGTGACTCCACTTCTCTCTTTCCCGCCACCTCCCGCATCCTTGGCACCCATGATTCTGAGATCCAGAAAGGATATGAGAGCTTGGGGCTAGACACTAGGGACAGGTGTTAGGGATCCTGGAGGGGAGAGTTCAGAACAGACCACCCCAGGGAGGAATCCGTGCAAGAAGAGCATGGGGGAACAGAGAGTAGGAGGTGACTGAGGCCCTCCCCTTTAAACCTGGACTGGGAAGGCAAGGCAGAATCCAGAGGGGCTCAGGCTTTGGAGAGGGTGGGGAGATGGGGTGCACAGGCTTCCCACTCTCTCAGGTAGTCCGTCAGCCCCACCTCTGCTTCTGACATCCATCTTCCTCCAAGAAGCTCTCCCAGACCGCCTGGGTGCACAAAAGGATGGCTCCCTCAGCAGATTCCATGGGACTCCCCAAGAGTGGGCCACGGTTGACCCCCCTTTCCCCCAGTGCCTCAGAACACAGAATAGGACATTCAGGAGCAATTAGTTGAAACATGGTCATATTTAATGTTGGTGAATTTTTTAGGCTTTTGCTTGGTTTTGCTATTTTCTTTCCACTCTTTTCACTTCTGAATACGCTTTGTGCCCTTTGATAGGTAAGGAAGGGTGGATCCCCCCAGGGGAACAATTCTGAAAGAACAAATAAGTGATTTGTATTGCAAAGAATCTGCAAGGAAACAATTATTTCTGATTCACCTACTCCCTTCTGGGGAGCGAGGCCTGCAAAGGCAGCAGGAGGCCTTCCCAGCCACTCGCTGCCTCCAGCCTGGCCAGCACCCCCTCCAACAGAGGAGAGGGAGTGTGGGCCCCTCCAGAGCCAGGAGAAGGCAGCCAGTCCTCTCCCTCCCTCCTCACCCTGCCCACCAGCCACCCACTGGGGGTCATGTGGCAAAGTGAGGTCTGCGTCTCCAGTCCTCACCCCCATCATACACCCTCAAGTGTCCAAGAATCTTGTCCTTCAGGAGAGCAGAACTCCAACAGCCCGAGAGGGATCGCACATTAATGGTGGGGTTTCAGCACCCTGCAGTTAGCTAGCCGCTGTGTGTGTATGTGTGTGTGTTGAGGAGTGGGTGCTGAGGATTCATGGGAGTCCAAACCCACAGATTTGCTCTTCACATCTAGGGCTTCTAGGACACCATAGGGCACCATGCCAGCAGAAGTAACTCCCCAGAAAAAAGACACAATTTCACTCTCCTACCAGGGAACTGAGGCCTGAGACGGGGTACGCAGGGTCATAAGGAGACATAGAGACCCCTGGTTTCTGAGCTAGCAGCAGCCCTCAGGGGTGTGGACAGCTGAGGATCTGGCTGAGGACCATCCAAACGCTGCCACCACTGGGAGATTGAGTACAAACCCAAGAAAGGCGAGGACAGAGCCACCTCCACAGTTCCCAAACCTAAGGAAGGGCCTGTGTCCAGGCTCACTGATTATACCGGGAAGGAGGTAGAAATTGCCGGGAGCACAGCAGCTCCCAATTTCCCCTCTGGCAAGGGAATGCCCCCTCCACGTCTGTGCACGCAGTGCACAGCACAGGGCCTGGCACACAGAAAGCGATTAATAAATGTGCATGGAGGAAAGGAGGGAGGCATGGAGGGAGACAGGAGAGGAGGGAAGGGAAAAGAGCACGTGTGGGGGTGGAATGATGGAAGGAAGAAAGGGGAAGATAAGAGAGTAGATGAAAGTGTAGTCACGCCCGAAGAGGGCCCGGGCGCCCATCCCCTCCCGGCTTTCCCCACGCCCCTCAAGTCCACCCCAGCGCAGCAGCTGTAGGGAGGGAAGCCCTGGTGGGTCCTCAGGGAGCGCCTGTGCGCCTGCTGTTCAGTCAGAGCCCGGTGCTTGACCCCCTGCAGGTAGCCGCACCTCCCGCTGGGCGCTGGGACCCGCTGCCGTCCCCGCCTCTCCGCGGAACGCTGCCCCTCCTCCCGACGCCCTATCCTGCCACCGCGACCGCCACGTCCAGCCTCGACCGTGCAGGCTCGAGCCCGCAGAAAGATGGCCAGCAGCCACCTGCGCTCGGTCCACAGGAAGACGCGCCCCCAGGGCGCAAAGCTGGGGACCCCGCTCCCCCATTCCAGGGACGAATAGAAGAGGAGAGGGACTGTCCCCGTGGAAGCCCAGCGCCAGACGCAGCGGCCCGGGACCCGGCCCCTCTCGGGCCCCGGCGTCCCCAGCTGTGAAACGGGGAATGCGGGAGGAGGTCGGAGTCTGTGGTTCCTTCGGGGTCCGCTGCGGGGCTGGCCGCGGGCCGGAGCAGGCCTGGCCCCCACGCGAGGGCGCTGGAACCTCACCCCGGCCTCCCCGGGGAGGCGCCTGCCCAGCCCGCGGGTGCAGACACGCCTCCTCCCGGGAGCAGGTGCCCGGGGGGGGGCTCGAAGGGCGCCCCGCAGGTCGGCGGGGGAGCGGGGCGGGGGCCCAGGGTCCGGCCTCCGTCGCGCCCTGACGTCCCTCACCGGCCGCCTCCGCGCCCCGGAGGAGTCGGGGCTGCTGGAAACGGACCGCACCGCCGACCGCTGTCAGCCCCGGCCACGTGCTCTCCCCGGGCGCGCCGGGAAGGCAGCGGCGCTTCCGTCGGCGATCGGGCCGCGCGCACTGGCCCCGCGAGGCGCACGGGTGGGAAAGGGGAGGCTGGCGGCGGCTCGCGGAGCGCGGCTCCGGGCGGGCGGGCCGAGGGGAAGCGCGGGTGCCGTGGGGCCGAGGCTCCCGGGTGCTGGGCCCGCGCTGCGGGGTCCGCTCGGGGCGCGCGGAGCTCCGGCGCTCGCGGGTCCCCGGCCCCGCCCACACCTGCGCGGCGGCCCCGCCCCAGCCCGCCCATTGGCTGCACCCGCCGCCCGTCAGACGAGCCCCCCGGGGCCCGCCCCCACCCGAGCTGCGCCTCTTAGTGCCCTGCCCGCGCGGAGCCGCTCAGTCCCCGGCGCCGCCACCGCCCGCCGCGGGCTCGGGGCCCACCATGCGCCCGCCACGTCCGCTGCCGGCCCGCTGGCTGTGCGTGCTGGCAGGTGCCCTCGCCTGCGCCCTCGGCCCGGCGGTGAGTGTGAGCCCGCCGCCCAGAGCTCAGGGGCTGAGGGTGGGGGGATGAAGGGTGGGGGCTGAGGGTGGGGGGATGAGGGTGGGTGCGCTGAGG